GACACCGCAGTCTAACTATAAAAATGTGTCTAGAATATTTTACAATATTTTTCTACTTCAAAAAATGCATCTAGATCATTTGAAGCCCCTTGCATTATTATGTATGGTCACGGAGTCAGCCACTTGACCTCCTCTAGATTTGTGTTAGAATAAAAACATCACGCTTGTGACACACACTGACATAGGCAGGGTTAAAACCAAAACTACCTTTAAAGCTAAAAAGATTTTAACGCCCTAATCTCGGGAACCACTGGTCTGAATCGAATAATTCTTTGTGCATCGGATAGTCTATTTATCGAGGAAGGGTATGGGGTATGAACCATCATGCTATCAAAAGAAACTCTGAAGCTGACTGACTGGTGCTGAAAATCAGAGCTGTGGACTTCGTGCTCTTACCACAGCATTAAGCTGAGCTCCGGCCTTTACCGCTGCGACCCATTATGGACTTCTTTTTGTCTGTACCTGTGTTTCTGTCTACATGTAATTGTGGGAGAACCATGCTTCGGCACGAGTGGGCCGGCTCGACCAGAGTGATACCATGGCCGAGCAGAAAACCATAGTGAAACAACGTTTGCGTTATGTTTCGTCATATGAGTGAGGTTACTGGAGGCCCAATTACCTCCTTCCTTCCCCAAGCTCTGAATCTCCAACAATCCTCAAATTCCTAATCCCAAAAGGCCGGTAACGCACTTGTAACCCGTCTCGTGTTCCAGGTGTCCATGGGCGACGCCGATTGCTTACCATCAGGTGATCCGACTGCTCTTTTACCGGTTTATCCCATTAAAAATGTGTCATGGCATAATAAACGGATTTTCTTTATTTCTTTCTTTCAGCCGGTAAAACCGCAAGAGAATAGGCTTGTTAGGTATTAATAAGTCATAGGTAACGTCTTTTAGTGCCCTTATGAGGAGGAAGAGGTAGACATTTAAAATTGTCACCAGTTAAAGAATCCCGTGTAATAAAGGGTGCCATAAACTGGGCACGAGACCAGACTCTGTGCTAACATTGAGAAATCATCGATATAGGCACCCAAAAATTCCAATAACGCTTTACCCGACTAAGGAATCGTTCTCGGAACTTCTTGTCCGCTAGTTGCATAGGATAGTTGACAAATAAAATCAAAACTAAAAAAAATCGCCCTTAAACTATAAAACAAATATATCACAAACAAAAACAGCAACCCTTTCAAGTCATAGACAATACTCGTTATTAATCACTCCCTATATTCTCGTTTTGCTCAACGATCGCGTTTAGTTTCGTCACTCATCCCCAACGCGATGTAGGTGGGGTCGTCGACCCGGGAGACAGGACAGCGGGCAGATATGTTGCAAATACAAGGGGTAACAGTAACTGTAGCTAGTTTCATACTTGTATTTTTTTGGAATGTTTAATGTAATATGATATATGGGAAGTGTATTTGTTTGTTTGTCTTTTCTTGAACATGGTAAAAGAGTAATTTATCGACAGTGGTGTGAACGTATGTACCTATTATGACATTTTTTAATTCCAATAGATATAACATATATAACATCACGCCTTTTATCCCCGAAGGGGTAAGCAGAGGTGTACATTATACCACTGTACAATGTAACATCCACTTTTCACTATTTATGTAATAAGTCCCATGTAATAGGGGGTGAGCCTATTGCCATATACCGGGCACAATTCCAGACTCCGTGCTACTACTGAGAATATTTAAAAACCCAGTAATACTTTGCTCGACTCGGGAATCGAACTCGAGACCCCTTGCTCGGCAGTCCTAGAGTCCTTGAGTAAAACAAAAATTTTGATTTAGCATATTTGGAACTAAAATCCTTTAAGACAATTTCTTTCAATGAAAATATCTGGCATAAATCTATCATATGCTACGTAAAATATCTGGTCATATTTTAATAACATTTCGATTTCTCCATAAACTTTTACATAGGTATAAGCGGAATAGAATAATACTTATCTCTGTTCTTTTCCAAGCAAGAAAAGTGATAAAAAAGTTTTTATCATATTTCTACGTCTGTGAACTTTATCTTTACCAGCGATGGCGAGGTCGAATTGGAATTCTTACTATTTTTTGCTAGCATTACGTTTTTGAATATTCTGGGCGCACTGTCGTTAAAATAAAGTAAAACATGAAACAACAAAACGTTATTTTGCTGAAAATATTATCTTGATTCAGACATGTTGCTGAGAATAACATGAAAATAATACTTGCGTATTTATTAAGTACTTTAACAAATAATTTACAATACTTACAAAGAAAATTCTAACAAAGTTGTAAATTATGTGTATTCATCGACCACGAAATAATTTATTTAACTTTAAATATAGCTACAGGATCAATAACTACTTTTTAATAAATAATCGCAAAATTAAAGATTTTACACGAATCTGCGACTGACAAATGGCAGTAACTATGGAATGTAACCGTTTACGTAATCCCTTTTTATTTTATTATCCAGTCTGTAATAATTATTTTATATTTGCTTTACGAATAGCTTAAAATATTATTCGTCGTTAATTTTATTGCTATAACCACACTGCAGAAAAAAGATTTTCAATGTAATACATGAGGCTGTGTAAATTACGTCATCAATTATTATAGATGAATATCACAAAGCCCATTTTGGAATCACAGCCACGAATCTCGAGCAACGTTTTAAATGCATGAATGATTCGTTCGCTCCCATTGACAGTTCGTAACAAACTGCTACCCGCCTCGCCTCTGACCCGAAAGCAAATTAAAGAAACTATTTGTCAGCGTGGACGTTTTTCTCACTTTACGGTATCTTAATTTATCGAGATTGTGTGTATTGCAGTAAAACTTTGCGTCATTCGGATTAAAAAAGTAGGTAGGTGTGTAGGTAGATAATTAAATAATATAACAGGAAAGTCATTGTTTAGTTATTGAACTTCAAAATTAATCTAAGTGGATATATATAACCTAAGTAAGGTTACTTAACTTTGAACCTTCACAAAATAGTTATAACTATTAATGGATATTAAAACCGCTGTAAGTAATTAGCAATTTAACAATGAAAGCATTTCCAGCGAAGTAGAACGCTCACACGTAATAAATCAGACATGAAATATGTATTTCTAACGACTAGATTTTACGTGACATTTTTATTACCTCAAAGAGAGGTTCTCGAGTTCTATTATTTAGTGAATACTGTGAGGATGTAAGAAATGGACCCCACATCATGATCATACGAGATAAATTGCCAGATACCTCCCTGATTTATAGCAGGACAGGGGCTTTCTTAAAAGATTCCTGGGTGAATGCGCGCATCTATCAAAGTTGGCGAACAAGATTATACCACTTAGCATTTCTTAATTTGTATAAAAGTCGGGATTTAGAAGTTTTCCGGGCAGATGTGATTAATTTATGCTGAGTATGAAAAATGTAAGCTTTAGTTCTGTCAAGTTTGTATAAAGAGTAAGACGGATACAAATGGTTAAAAAAACTAAGCTCATCAAAACAGTATCTATGTTTACTTCGATTACTGACGTTGCAAATAGTACTCATACTCTGTCATTAACTAAACTACTATACTTAGCATTCCATTACTTACTGGACACGAGCTGTGTCCGCTGCCTGTTGCCAACTGCCCCCGACCATCGAGGACTTGCCCTCTACTCCACACCACACCCTCAAACTGTGAGTGGGACACCAGTACACCCTATGGCTATAACCGATAGGAATAGGTACATTAGTTTCAGAGCGAGACAGAGACACATTTATTACGACAAAACTCTCAGTTAAAAAGAGATAGCGATAGCCTCGTGGAGATGAAATGCGCAACTCGTAGGAGGGTAATTTTTGTGGAGCAGCTGTACGGATAAGTTCATTTTCAATAAAATAAAAGCTTTTCTGGCGGCGGCATGGCGTGCGCTTCTCTATTAGACGACAATTTTAACGTCTAGAATTTTGTAGAGGATATTAGGTTACTTGGAAAGCGATTTTATGTGATACTTTTATTTTGTATGGGACTGAGACTTGTAGGTACATTTAGTCTTATGATATTCCGTTTGCTTTTTTGTAAAGTAGGTAATTACAAAAAAGTACAGTAATTATAAAACTTAATGTGGCGATACGATCGTCAACAGTTCCTATACCCGAATATTAGATTGGATGTATTGCTAAAAAATCCCAGTCGTCGTAAGTTTCTTTCTATAAAATTCCAGTAAATTATTTTAGTATTAACTGTGCGTTAAATTGCACATTTAAAAGACGTGCATATATATGAAATGGATGTAAATACCTCTAAGGTGTCTCTAATTAAAATATACATTTTATGATACACATAGGTAAATGAGATTAAAGTTGTATAAATTTTCCTACAATATGGATAAATCTCAAACGAGGCGTTGGATATCAAATTTGCCTTCTGTTTCATCTCTTATTCAAATATTTGCATTTGCCTCCCTCGCTTGGAAATTCTAAATCGAATAGAAAAGACGCGACGTTTCGTCATTGAGATAATTAAATATTAACATGTGAGGCAACATTTTCATCTTACGCAAATGTTTACCTTCTCTAGCTGAATTTTGACATTACTTTTCTTTAATGTCATTGTCTAAATCCAATGGAATGACAGTGAATAGCATCAATTTAAAAAAAAAGCGTTGGTGTACAGTGTAAATAATAGATACATAAATTTTCGAATAACAACCTCTTTTGAATAAAATCTAATAATTACAAATGTTAGAAATGTTCGCAATTTGTGAAATGTAAATGAATATTATAGTAATTATATCGTACACTAATATACAATGGATTTCAATTTATTTGCCAGTAATTAGCTTCGAAACTTAATTTGTTATAACATTGGCGGGAAATTTGGATGAATGTAAACAGATCGTGTTTTGTTTTTTTTTGTCAGCTACAAAAGTGAAAGCGTCGTTGGACCGAATCCGAGTCGTGATTCGGCCATCGATATTTACGTAAATTTAACGTAAATAATTTAGTTGTTAGTCGTGTACTGTTTGGTGCGGTAGTGACAATGATGGGGTTGTATTCTAGTGGGGCGCTGGGCGGTGTGGAGGTGCTGGATGGAGGGCTGGTGGGCGGCGAGCTGACGGCTCACGTGCTGAGCGCGCAGGCGGCCGCGCATGCCGCCGCCACGGCCGCCGCGGCCGCGCATCAACAACACCAGCAACAGCAAATTGCTGTGCAGCAAATCAGTGAGTATCTATTTGGATTCCAATTCTTCCTTTCTCATTTTATGACCCTAACACTAATTCGAAATAAAGTTCTTGGGACCCAAACAATAGGGAAAAACAAATGAATGCCTTCTAAGCCATTTTATGCATGCATTTTATGATGAATATTCTTGTATGCAGATTGTATTTCATTACACAAATATGCTGTAGAAGCATCAGTTTTTCTGTTTCATGCTAGTTTTCATCCCTTGCAGTGCTTTACTTGAAGTTTTTAAAGTTTTTATCTGATGAAATTGTATTTCAAGTTTACATTTTCTTTGTTCTACTTTTGAGAAACTAAATAAAAGGTTGCAGGAAGTTATTACAAGCCATAGCTCATATTCAAATTCAAAATTAGGTGATTGTTTTAAGTGATTTTGTTCTAAAATGGTGAAACACTTGAAAGTACATTAAAAAAGCATTCTACTATAATAGATTAGAATCATTTATATGCATTGAATGTAGGTACATAATAAGTTCTTACAAAGATATATTGTTCCTGGTACATTCTACCATCTGGCATGCAAATTTTTTTAACCACTTAAAGCTGTGAACATAATTTTATTGTATTATATTTGTTGTTTTGAAAATTGAACATGTCACAAGACAATAACTTAGTATATATTGAAACATTATTCAAGCAATTGTAATATTTTATGAAAGAGTTACCAATTGTCTTGTCTTCATCCCTTTTTATCATTATTACTATTCTAATAGTTAATACAAGAAATATCAAAGACACCTTTTAATATTTATTTCTTCTTCACCAAAGATAACAGTGAATGGTGGACTGAATGCCGTACAGCATGCTCTGACAGTCAACCATAGGGAAGTGCAGAGAAATGAAGTGGTTGATGCAAAGCTAGAACAAAATCCAGAAAAAAAAATTGTTATGTAATATGTATACTACACACATAAATACCTATAGAATAAATATATTAATACAATATTTTAGAAATCTGTATAGACATATACATACCATATAATATTGTTAACCAATCACATTTAAACCAAATATTACACAATAATTGAACTTAACAAACTTTTCATAACAACTCATTTCGTTTATAAATACCAACCTCCGAAGCCCTACGCAAAGACCATCACAACATTGACCCTAGACCCCTATTTCCCAACAGAAACATCCCCGTCATCTGGGCGTTCCACCCCAGTGACGTCACAAGCAAATGGAACAGCCCCCGCACCCACGGGGAGCACCTCACCGTCTCCGAGCAAGCTATTTGTGGGCGGGCTCAGCTGGCAGACGAGCTCGGAGAAGCTTAGAGAGTATTTCGCCATGTTCGGACCAGTTACCGATGTGCTGATTATGAAAGATCCTGTGACACAGGTGAGTTTGTAGAAGGCTTGGTTTCTTTACATGATGCAAAGGTTTTGTATTAGTGTTGTGTGGAAAACCAATTTTTGTACAATATAGTAATCAAAAGTTAAAAAAAATTACTTTTAAAACTAACTAAAGAATGTTAGTTAGCCAACTGTTGAGCTGATTATTTTACTGTCAGATAAATAGTGGTTTTTGTGCTAATTAACATGATCTTGAAACTTATTTACAAATAGGTAATACAAACTTAAATAAAATAGGTAATATAAACTATCTATTACTTAACCCATATATCCCCAAACCACTCCCCACTAACTACATTATAGACAGCAAATTTAGGGGATGATTTTCAACAGGTTAAGATACAGAATCCGAATCATTTATTTGTTAAACATAGATAGTTTACATAATTAGGTCTTACATATAAAGATGGTCCACTATGTTTTGCCGTAATAGACATACAAATATATTAGGTACATACAATAAAATTAATGGAAAAAATTATGGTTTTATTAAATTATTTGTTGATATCAAATTGATAGGACTGTAGTTAGGTAATATAATATTTATGTCACAGTTAAATGCAAGTTTAAGTTGTTTTTCTACCACATATACTGTCCACACAATACCAATACAAAATGTTTACATTCATCCATAATAATTATACTATTATTGTAGATTTGAACTTATATTGTAAACAAGAATGGTCCTAGCAACATGCCAGTAACATACAATAATATTATGTAAGTTATGTACATAGCAAGATAAAGATAGTTTATTTGCAAATATGGGTAATACAATATGTGGTGTTAAGGTACAATGCGAGCTCAGCTATATTTCACCAGGAGGCATGCTAATATGAATTAACAGAGTATTTAAAAATTCAAATTTAAATTATATAAAATAAAATCAATAATATGTTCAAGTGTGCTCGACCGGAGTGATACTACGGCGGAAAACCGACGTGAAGCAACGCTTGCGTTGTTTCATCGTGTGAGTGAGGTTACCGGAGGCCCAATTACCCTCCCCTTCCCCAATCTCCCCAATTCCTGAATCCCCAACGATCCTCAAACTCCTGATCCCCAAAAGGCCAGTAATGCACTTGTACACTCTGGTGTTCCAGGTGTCCATTGGCGACGCCGATTGCTTACCATCAGGTGATCCTTCTGCTACTTTACCGGCTTATACCATAAAAAAATGTACCTACTTATTGAATTGAATACAGAAAACGTCGTAATAAAACAAAAAAAAAAACAATCAGCCGAACATAGTACCTCCTCCTTTTTTGAAGTCGGTAAAATAGATGAAATGTCCAGGATAATTATGTAGTATGTAATTAAAATATTATTCTATTCCATTGTCCATTAGAAAATCTGCAACATTGTAATATGCCTTGTCGACTAATAATTTTCGCAATTTGTTTTTTAATAATGACATAAATCTCTCGAGGATTTAGGTAATTTATTAAAGATTTTAGGTGCCATGCAAGAAATAAGTAGTTACTTAAACCTGCGTAAGTTTAAGAAATAAATACTTAGCTAAGCTATGATCATCATCATCAGCCTATAAATGCCCACTACTGACCAAAGGCCTCTTCTCACACAGAGAAGGTTTGAGCATTTATCACCACACTTGCTCAATGCGGGTTAGCGATTTCAAACGTATAATTAGCTATTGTAAGCCCAGGTTTCCTCACGATGTTTTCCTTCACTGTTTGTCAGTGGTGTCTAAATAATCTTAGAAAGTACATATAACTTGCCGTTGGTAGTTTTCGAAACTGCGTCCTCATGTATGAGAAGCAGACGTCTTAACCCTCCAGGCCACCACGACGGTAATAAGTAACGTAGTTTACGCGAACTTGATAAAAAATACCTGTCAATCCTACTATAGACTTATCTACAATCATAATACTCGATGCCCCCTCGATGGCCGTGTAGTCGCAAGTGCGACTGCCGGGCAAGGGGTCTCGGGTTCGATACCCGGGTCGGGCAAAGTATTACTGGGTTTTTAAAAATATCACTAGTAGCACGGAGTCTGGAAATGTGCCCGGTATATGGCAATAGGCTCACATGGGACTCATAACATAAATAGTGAAAAGTTGGTGTTACATTACACAGTAGCATTAAGTGGTGTAATGTGCACCTCTGCCTATCCCTTCGGGTATAAGAAGGCGTGATGTTATGATGATGTTATGTTAAAAACATTTAATAACTGAGTCAATTCAACACCAAATCGATGCTAAGCGGTAATGCCGGATCGAAAGCGTGACGAAGGCGATTTTTTACGAGGCATGAGATTTTCGACACTTAACTATTGCTGTTGTCGTCAGCATCTAACTGTAGGTACTTTATTGTACCCGTTGACTTTCTATAATTCAGCTGTTGGCGTGCCATAAAGATCCCATTATAGTTACAAGTCCTATTCTTGTGTATAGGGACTAAGCAATAATGATAAAAGTGGTCGAAAAGGCTACTGTGATTGCACTAATTTTCTAACTACCTCCTAACTAACTAACCAATTAAACCCAATCCCTATTGATCCCCATACACCCACCCCATAAACCCAATTAAATACAATCCTCAAATTCCTAATCCACAAAAGGCCGGTAACGAACTTGTAACACACCTCTGGTGTTCCAGGTGTCGATGGGCATTATCCCAAGAAAAATCCCTCTCTTCTGCTTTTATTAGTAGATACGGATCTTCTTTAGGGTTACTGTAGGTCTTTCTGAACCTTTGTTCGTGAGGAAAAATTCATCAAATGATTCCTTCTCCTTCCGGGAATACCAAAACGTGATGTTATACCGAACAACAAAACCCACAATAATGAGACCGCAAAATATTAGGTATCGTCAAAAATGTTCATTGACTCGACGGGTGATTGATCGCGCTCTGAATTAAGCAAAAACTATTCGCAATCCGTCGTTGGGTAATGATATCGTGATAATATTTATAGATTTCATGAAATTTATAGCCTTTAAAGTGATTACATGATCTGATTCTGAATGCCTTTGGAACAGAGGTCGTAGGATTGACTGTTGTGCACGATGGTACCTTATTGGGATGGGGCTTACAACTTTGAGATTTTTAATGGAATTCTGCTAAAGGTAAATCCTCCGCTAACGTAGGTCACCGGTGACTTACGCGGCGGTTAACGTGTTAATAGTTCCATTGTCATAGCACACGTTTGTTTACACCGGGTACAATTCTCCGTACTTACAGAATATTCTGCATTTTGAGGTAATAAGCAGATGAGAATATATGTATTATACACTGCCTTCTATGCTATGACTAAGCGTACGGTCTGATAGGAAATTACCCTATTGTAAAGTTAACTCATTTAACTACTTCTTCTAAAGAGTTTTATTAATTTGTTAGAAAAAGCAAGGTCTTTGATTGTATATAAAAATATGTAAATATAGATAAATAATTCCAGATTCACTCCATGATACAATGATATTTATACCTATTCTAAGGCATGTTGCTAAGACCAATAACAAAATGTTTTGCTTAGTCGATAACTTTATACGTTTTATTAAATTAATTTTGACCTAAAAAGAACATAAGTAAGTTGTAAGTAACAACAAAACAATGGTGGGTTTTATTCAAAAACACAGACTTACATGGCGAACTAGCGACGCGTTTGTAATTCTTCTAATGCTTAAGGTGTCCATGGGCGACGCTGATTTGCCTCCCTGCTCGCAGCAGTTGGAAGCAGGAGCTGGAAAGGGGTGGTCTTTAGTCAGTTACGTACGAATATTGAAAGGCTACTTAATTATAAGTCGCGATTAGATATAGTTCTGTCACTACAAATTCTTTGTAAAATGATAGAGATGGCACGACATTTAAGTACTACTTATTAGTTGATTATTACTTAAGCTTGTGCTATTAAAACTAAAACGGTACGATGGGGTTGGTGTATCCATGTGGATATAAACACCAAAATATGAATAGAATTAAAAAAAATACAACTTAAAATCGAGTAGCCTTACAGTTCGGGCTTAAGAGTCTGACACTCTCCCTCGTCTGACCCAAGGCCGGAGAAATTATTGGATGATTTTCTACCACTAAAAATCGCGTTTAAAACCACCGTGCTTAACTTAGCTATCATAAAAGATTAATTTAATACACAAAGTTATCGACTATAGTAAAACAAGAGATATAATAATTTATCATAATATAATTTAGTTTTTAAGAATATAATAACGTAATTTTTTCAAGACAGCGGTAGGCCGAAGAAGGAGCAATATCGGTCAGTTTTAGTAATTTTGTATAGGTTGATTTGGTCTAGGTAGATATGTAGGTTCGTGTCGAGATACCAACCGGCCATATGCAAAAAAATGTACGTTTTTATTTTTTTACGTCGGCAACATCTTTTGTCCAATTTTTTTGTCTGGCAATGCATTTTGAATTGTGTTTAGTTGTCGACACCTTCCTGTCCTTTTAATTCAGTTACATCTCCTGTATGTATGTCAACCAAGTGAATTTAGTATACAGGTAAAAAATGAAGATTGATTCAGTACAGAGACAGTAGCTATTGGTTGTCTAAAGACGACTGAGTTACTTCGTTAAAAACTTACAATTTAGTATAAAGTCAAAGCATTTATTTCAATGAATCCTTAATTATGCACTTTTAAAACGTCAAAAAATGTCCGTCAGTCTGTTTGTCAATAAAGCTAGAAATCGTTTCAAAGTGTAGGTTCGAATGAAGAAGAACGAGAAAGGAACTCCATCGTTACTCTTGAAAAAAAAATGTTTTTACAGTCTCATTGTTACTTTATCTGACAATGGCTACTGTGTCTGTGCTGAATTAATCTTTATTTTCTTATCAGTGCCTTTACCCAAACGCCACTTTAGCGCTTGTCTACAGAGAGAGTAGAAAACTAAATATATGGGAATGACACCGACAAGTGTCAAAATTTACGTCAATTCTATATAATTTGGTTGTCTATTCTACATGTAGACAAGCGCTAAATGGCATTTGGCTACACCTAGTGGATACTAAATAACCTGTTTGATTGTTTACAACTTCATGCTAATCCAATGTTCTAATCCGACTGTTCATCCAAATTCCTTGTAGATTTTATTTAAAAAATTAACTTACTTTTTGTTGTATGATTAAATAAATAGTAGGTAGAAGTAATACTCTTTTTGTATTATCACTTTCAAAACAATTTACTCTATAAATGTGTTTAATGTATATGTACATTCTACTAATCTAATTTTTGTATAGATAGGAATGTTTTACTTTTCCAAGTGAATTTTTCCTTAACTTAGATTTTATTATACATAACCTTAGATTGATCAACTTTCTAAGCAATGAATAATGTGTTTTTAACTATGTAGCTAATAGCTTACCCAGTTTATTTTATTTTCAAACTAGTCAAAGCTTTTAAAAGAAATATAATTGTGCTCCATTCAGTACAAAAACCATTGTATGTTTCCTGTAGGTTCTACCTAAACTCCCTATTTTTTGCATATGGACCAAAATCTCGGCACATAGTTGGGCTATGGTTGATCCAAAGTAACCTATGAACACTAATAATGTATATCCATTAATATAACATAGACAACCGGCATGCTAGACTCACTAACATAGAGTTAGGTCTAGATCTATGGATTTGATAAAAAACTCCTTCTATTGTCTTCTATTATTTGATCTGGTAGTTCCCCCTCAGTCGGTGTTGCCATGCTTTTGATTTTTCTACAAAATTGGTAGTTTTTTTTGTAGTTTTAATTTGGTTCTTGGTTTAATTGGTCACAGTTGATTTAAATACTTTTTGTATTATTATTCGTGTAGCCTCAATTCGTAGGAAAATTTGTAGTTCGCTATAATTTGGCCTAAAAGTATTAAATTAATAATTGTATAATTGACCTTTTAGATTTTGAAAATTTTCTAGTCAATCTTACCTAGATTTATTGACAAATAGTTGACAAAATATGCTCTATTTACAGTAGGTATTATCAAAAAAAATGTGCATTTTCCAAAATGTAGTTATTTTCTTTTCTACTACGCTATGACTGAAATACTTATTAGTAGTTTGTAAAACGTGGCCATACCCAAAATTATTACTTTTGAACATAGCAACACTGACTTCACCCCTTAATTATCTGCAAAACCTTTTTATAAACTTGGATTTTCTACTAATTAATTAATAGTTTTAGCTAAGATCACAGAATAGATAAAATAATATTTTTTGGTAGAAAACAAAGTAAATAGTTTTGTCACTGAGGTAACACTGATGCTCAGATGAAATTGGTAGAAATTTGGTTCACGTTGAGGGTAACATTGCTCGGTTAGACAGATTCGTGCTAATATTAAGATAATATAGTTGTCTGACTTGTAATATTTATTATTATTAGTATGTATTCCTGTGGCCGTTTTGATTTTCGCCATTTTTTATTACTAACACTTTGATATACTTACTAAATTAAGTAATATTCATGTGGGTTACTTAAAACTTGTTTTACGGGAATGCTCGACCAGTTTTGAGCCTAAACGGAGCTCTTAAACCTAAGAGTGAGTTGCATGAATACCTTAAATTGTAATCAGTTTACTTATTTCACTTACAATTTTAATTGTATCGTCCATATAACTAAAAATTTTTCTTAAATATTTTGATTTTCGGTTTATAATAATTAATCTAGTATGTCTCACAAATGTTTTAATATTAAAATATTTCTTTACATAAGTCAAAATGGTCACAAATTCATCACTAATTCCAACTAGTATACCAGTGAAGGACGCATGATGTACTTAGGTCGACCTGTAGGCGTACCTAGTGTACTGAGTAACGTACTATGTACTACCCTCATTTTATATAACAATGTTTGTGATTTGCGATTATAGCTCTTATTTTGCGGGGTCATAGTGTCTGTATTGTCGTGTTGGAGCGGTGTGGAGATAAAGTCTTATTTTTTTATGTTTTAACAAATATATAGGTACAGCGGGATTGTCTCCTGCGTCATAGGTGTGTGTATTGATCGGTATTTCACCAACCACCCCTTAAACCAGCTCTTAACTAAGAGTTCCTTAGCGCGAGGGAGCACCTAAGCTAACTTTTACCTGTACCGTTAGGTGTCACTTATTAGTTGATGAAAATCATAGTGTCGTTAAGTGTCACCTATGTTTGCTTAGCTGTTTCTTAGAAAACAGGCATGGACGTTATAGATAAACTTGATACCCAGACATGGGACAACCATCTGTGGTTCATTAAAATTCTGTGCCAGAATTCTACCAATGACACTTTATGCAGTTGCCACTGCCCAGACTAGTCTTTATTATGATTGTTTGTTGTTTATTAGTCATTATTTCCAGTGATTCAGTTTACATGAATAAAACAGTATTGTTTAGGCACTATACATTGATTATCGCACATAAATTGAATTCAAATGTATATTTGATTTTAATGAAATTAGTTTGACTTTAGGATTTAGTTTGGTTTGACTTCATCTCCGCACCGTCTTTGTGGACACTGACGGAATCTAACAGCGCCTGTTAGTCAAGAGCGTATATATTATATACCTGCGTAGTGTATTATATACTGAGTCTACTAACTAAAGCATAGCATAGTTACTATGTACCTCACTACTTTCTACCGTACTACTAGACTAGACAATTAATTGGCAACACATCAATCTATTTTCAACTGTAGCAACACTTGTATACGCTCTTGATGAAGTATTATATAACATTAACAGTTGATGTTAAGTTTGTTTGAGATTTGTAGTCCTCGTGTCACGTACGTATAGGTGTAAGTCACTAAACCCCCGCTCACCTTGTCTTATACAGCGCCGGGATACATGTTCACGACACAGTCTAAGGTGCCGTAAAGTTTGTACATGAAGGTGTATCCCGGCACTGCGTCACGTGATCAGTGAGCTTGGCAGTAACAGTAGCCGCGCGCAGAGATCGCGCGGCTTCGGCTTCATCACGTTCCAGGAGGCGTCCTCCGTGGACAAAGTGCTGGCCGTGCCGGTGCACACGCTCGACGGCAAGCGCATCGATCCCAAGCACGCTACGCCCAAGTCTGCGCCCCGCCCAGCCAAGACCAAGAAGATATTCGTCGGCGGCGTCGGCCAGGACACGTCCGCTGAGGAGGTCAGGTCTTACTTCTCACAGTTCGGCCTCGTCGAGGACGCCGTTATGCTCATGGACCAGCAGACCAAGCGCCACCGCGGCTTCGGCTTTGTCACCTTCCACTCGGAGGAGGCGGTCGAGCGCGTCTGCGACATACACTTCCACACCATCAAGAACAAGAAGGTGGAATGCAAGCGAGCGCAGCCCAAGGAGGCCGTCGCGGCCGCCCCGCTAGCGCTAGGCAAGCGACTCGTGCTGCGGCCCGGGCGCGGGCTGGTGTACGCGGCCAGTGGAGTGGGCGCCGTGCCCGCCGTGGGCGCCGCGCATGCTTACCGCTACGCGCCGTATGCTCTGCCCACGGCCGCTACGGCCGCAACGGCGCTGGTGGCGCCTCCGCAGCCGGCGCCGGCGCCCGCGCTGCCTCAGTTCGGCGCCGCGTACTCGCTAGCCGGCGTGGACATGTCGTCGTTCCAGGGCGTGGACTGGGGCGCCATGTACGGCCTGCCCATGTACATCTAAACGGTAACGAGCAATATTCACATGAAAACCCCACCCGCCTACAGAGGTTAGGTTCTTAGCTCGGCTATTTTATTTCTTACGATAGAGTTCCTACGTACTATTTTTGTTTAATTAAGGTGTTTGTCTTGCCGCGTACTCGCAGTGGCCACAAGAGGGAATGATCAGTATTCGAACGTAGTTAAGATGTTTATTGGCTCATTAAACTTAGTGTAAGGCAGTTACAAGCAATACTTTGCCCGCTACGGGCGTCAAAGAGAACGCATTTCATTTTTTTTTTATTAAAAAGTTAATTTATTAAGGCGACTCCCAACGGAGACGCTGCAGTAGGAGACACGGGCCCATGTTTATCGTATTCAGAGTCACTTTGTTTTAGTTCCACGCGATGTGACTCCCAACAATACTAGTAAATATGTCGTCGTCTGTCCGACAGCTCGCGTCGTTGCGTGTCCCCTTAACTTTTAAATATTAAGGCGAAGATCTCAAATAATTTAGTTGCGATAAAAAAAACTAATTTTTTTCTTATATTTTGTCTTTGATATTTTGTAATTTAGTGGTAGACATAGTGCACGTTTGTTTGGCAATACATTAACCTGATATTATTTATGATGACTCGACTGTATTTTATGAATCTCATACGCAGCTGTATTTTTATGGTAAATGATATAAGAATTAATATATACCTCTCTATATATACATTCGCGGTAAGAATGACGCTGTGTGACTGCGCTAACTCTCGATTATTGTTACTCTAAAGTAAAATTTTACATCTACCTTCAAATTAAAAACAAAATTAGACAATTCTATTGGATTACTCTCATTCGTCCCGTATTCAAGTGCGGGGCTGTAGATAAATAAATTAAAAAATATAAATTAGGCTAAAAAAATTAAAAACAAATAATTAAAAAAGAAATGGTAGAAAATGTCAGTATTATTATTAACGGTGCCATTTCGTTAGGAACATACGTTTGTGCCAAATTTCGCTCAGTTTTGTGTTTAGAAACTCTTTTTTAATTAAGCTTATTATGAGGAATGACAGCATCTGTCAACTTTGACATATGTCACTTGGTCCTAAAGCTGGTTTGTGACGTCACAAGGTAGTCCCGCCAAGCGTTACGTCACACGGCGTCGACCGCTCTGCTCACGACTCTCATACATATCGTACGAGCGGAAAAGCAATCTCATTCTACAATAGTATTATAAATTGACATACGTAGATATAGTACTTGTGTCATCCTCGTACATTTTGTCCTTTAAAAAGGCAGCTATGACAAAATAAAACGATAACCTTAAAAATGTACTAAATATATCCAGAATTAAAGCAATATTTTCTAACAAATTTTGGATTTTAAAAAGGACAAAACGTACAAGGATGACAGAGTAAATTAGTTTACATATAATTAATTTAGTTTAGCGTGTATGAGTGTGCGACTAACACCTGTGTAACGTGACAATAAGCTAAGTATAAAAGCCGCTGTAGATTGTCATGGCCGCGTGACCTTGCCAACTGTCCTATATTTTACCCTTAGAAATAAAATCTTGATTTTTGAAGTCTACTGAGGCCCACGTTGGGCGCCAATTTGTTGGGTATCGTCTTAGTAGAGTATTTTGAATGGTTGCTGGGTTTTTTTAACTGTGATAGAGAAGCAAATTTGTTTAAAATGTCTTCAGTATTAGTCACTTGTCAAATGTACAGACTGCAAAGTAATTTAGTATGCAGGTAAGAAAATGTAGATAGTTCAGTACAGAGACAGTAGCCATTGTTATACTGAATAGGCTAGTTTCCTAAATTTTAATTTAATGTCCGTCTGGTAGATTATTTTTAAACTTTAGACACGTATTTTTTCTTTTCTCACAAAATTAAATGCTTTCGACGATATATTGATTTGAAATGTCGTGTGACGTCACAGCGTGCAACAAAATGTAACACGTTGTGACGTAACTACCTCCCACTCCTAAACTTAACTCCATTTTATTTAAATATTGTAACTTTATACGAGAAAATAAAAAAATACGTGTCTAATACTTTTTCATTATCTGACTGACGGACTAATTAGAGTTTTAATTTTCTTACCCTGGAAACTACCCAATTGTATGGGTGTTAGTGAAGGCCATCTTTTATTGAACTCCGTAGCCAACCAATAGATACTGCCTCTGTACTGAATCACTCTTCATTTCCTTACCCCCATACTAAAAACTTGTCCGACTCCTTAAAGAGTTCTCCAAGAGTCGATATCTCTTCTTCTCCCAAGACAATATCCAACAAATGTTCTCAGAAATTTTACGTCCTTATTATAGAAAGTACTTAATTTATCAAAACGTAGCTTTAGACCCAAAAGCAATAAAATGTGATTAGTGTGTGTAAAAGACAAAGATGGTTGTGTTTGTGCAATTCCTAGGTTTAAGCGGTGATCTGGACTTAGTCCTTAGACCAGCAGTATTAAAAACCCAAAACGTGATTTTTCCACATTGTTTGGTCCTCCTCTAACTCCGTTTTCAAACAAAATCTATACACTTTTTTCGAAAAACGTACTTAAATATGTTTTTCGGCTTTCACACGTAATTATTTGACGAGGGAGTCGACTAGTTTCAAGCTGACGCGGTGACTGTCGTGCTCCTACTGCCCGCGTACCGCGTCGCTGGACGTGGAATGCTGCCTCTAGCATGACTTGAAACTAGTCGAGTTCCTCGTAAAATAATTACGTGAGTAAGCCGAAAACATAAAACCTAATTAATTTAGTATGTCTCACAAAAGTCGTAACATAAATATACTTAAATATGTCCCTAATTGTAATGTTGTACTTAAAATATTTACTCAAGAATACCATTGATGTCTCGTACTTATTCTCGGGAGTATCCCAAAAAATATCAAAATAAAAAACGGAGAATTTCGTGTAACGTCTATTACTAAAGTACTTAAATTCCCTATACATATTTATATTAGCGTATATTTTGGACGCAGGCGAGGCCGCGCGGCAGGCGTAGTGCAGTATGCATGGTAGCTTGGTCGGCTATATTCCTTACCAGCCGACGCACTTGTAACCGAAGCGTGTGGAAATTTTAAGATAAAAATATGAGGGTAGTTGGATATTTAGTGGTCCCATGCTGGGCGCCAACAGCCAATATGTTGACTGCACTCTTCATACAGGCTAAACTTGTTCTATTTATTGTTTGGGCAACGATATTATTATGTATTTGTTATTTATTTATTTTTACTTTGTGTTGTATTATATTACTATGTCTATCGAGATAGTTTCCACACGCCACGGCTACCGTATGCTATGATATTCACATTATGTATACACATACCTATCCTTATATAGCAGTATTCTAGCATAAGTAGGATTAGAAACCTCCTGAGATTAATCGGCATGGCACGCGCTCTCTCCTTATATTACTATAACCAGATTGTGGCGGTCTAAACCGCTTTTTTACACACAGACACCAAATGTTTTATTGTGAATAAACTCTGAGTAACTAACATGGTCAGGAATTGATTTTGATAATTGTATTGATTGTTTATTACTACTGGTAGTTTGACAGCGCGTGCCTGCGTCACCCGACAGATACACCTCTTGTACATTAGCGGTCGATTCCTGATACACCAGTAGAATGGTTGAATATGTGATGTGACAGCCGCGTGCTTCGTATCTTGCCAAATTAGATAGAGGGCGGCCAGTGTGGGGACGCGAAGGAGCGACCAACGAGACTGCGGCCTGTCGCCCTATGTAACTCTATGTACATTGTAGTAGTTGCCACTAAACCGCATGCGCAGATCATCCTCTACATCTCTCTGCCTGTCACACGTTGCGTCCACTTCCCCCGCGCCCTCACACGAACGTTGTAATGTACTTAACTTTGTTTTCATATATTGTACTGTTCCGACTTCCCTACGGGTGGATCCAGCACCCTTTGGTAACTGGTCGCCGACGTCCGTCGCTTGGGGCCGAGTGACGACACTGGCGTACCGTGTCATGGTGTGACGTTTGCTTTGTGGGTAGTGGAAGACGGAGCGGTGACGTCACTCGGCCGCCGCGGACCTCGGCTGTAGGCTTAGTGTAGAGTTAGAAGGAGTTTGCCCGCTGTAAGATGGAGCACTTAGTAAACTGATGTGTCATTACATGGATATAATATTAGAAATTAAAATTGTGTGTTTTATTTAGCGTGGGACTTCCTGCTGGGTTTGGTTTGTTGTACTTTACACTACTTTTTATCTTTCTAGATAGTTTGCACGTTGAACTTGTAGTATTTAGTTATGGGGTTGCCATCTACACTTGGCTTTAAAACTGTGATTAATTACATTTTAATGTTAGGGCGATCCCGACAGGCACTCTATGGACATTGTAAGCTATCTACTAATAAGTTGGCAACCCTAGCGTGCGATACGGCTCGCCATATAAGCCTCGGTCGGCATAGGAGGGTGGGACTCCGGACTGGAATGGTAAGTGCCGCGAGTCGCGACCAGCATGCGTGTACTATACTCGTGACTAACTCAAGACTTGACGGAGAGAGATAGCATGGTTGGCATGAATGATACGTAAACAATGTAATCTTCCATACAATATACTTCACTGTCAATTTATTAAGGCGTTTGCCACACGTTGGTTGTGATGCGTGCTATTAAACATATTCCTTTTAAAGCGTAACTTTAAAAGGAATATTGTATACGTAGACACGTAGTTTAGACCTATAGACGCTTCGCTTCGGGCCCACAGGTCTTCCTGGTAACGACGATTGTTTTGCCAAAAGAAACAGGCCAAAATTATTAGCCAAAATGTTAATTTTGCTCAACGTTGCGAGGTCGCAGTCGTGTGTACAGGGCAAGGACTCGCGACAAGGGATTCAATATTTTGCCAAAATAAACAAAAAGGAAATATGCCAGAGTAGCTTAAGAACGTGACAATAATAAGACGGGACGTTGCCAACTAGGACGCTGTTACTATTTATCTCTCGGTTGCCATATACGTCAATACATTCCTCTCTAGTCATTTTTTTTATTTATT